AACAACTGGTATTAGGTAGGACTCCACAAGCTTTGTCCAAATCACGTAAACACACAAACAGTTTTCTCATCCACAAAAGGGGAGTAATAATGCTTGTGCTATTTAACTTCACAAGGCTATTTTATGAGTCAAATGAGGTAGTAAAAGCTAACATTTCTAGAATACATAGTGTATGACAAGCTATTCTTATCTTTTTTGTGCATTATCTCATTTAATCCTTAGAACACCTTTATGGTAGGTACTATTATTATCTATTTTGAAGATGAAGAAACTGAGGCATAGAGAAGTTAGGAAACTCAGGTAGAAAGTGGCAAAGCCCAGAAATGAACTTGTGTTTTTTGATTCCAGAACCCACGAGTATACACTGAGAGATATGAAAGACATAGAGCACCCAAAAAATGTAAGCAGCAATTCTGGAGCCTATTTCTCTTCTCTTATTTAAAAGATCGGATCAGAGCCATCATCAGACGATCGGGAAAAAAATCTTTGGGTACTTTGGGTCAACATTTCCAAAAGAAAAACACTCTGAGACAGGATTCTAAGTCATCTTTAAAGAAAATATCAAATTCAGAACAAAAGAGGGAAGGAAATAAGGACACACATTCCTGACAAGGCTAAGGTCATAAAAACTAGGCTAAGTGGGAAGGATAACTAGCAAGACTAAAACATGGAATTTGCAACATTTAGGGAAACAAAGCATTGGAAATGAGCTGAGAGAGAAGAGTTCCAATCTCTGAAAATCCCTAACTTTGATCCAAGCAATAATGTCAGATCCAGAGGGTGAGTCACGAGGGGATGACTGACACACCCAGACACCCAGTCAGCCCAGAGGACTCACCACCGAACTAGCTAACAGAGCTCAGCTCGAGCAGGGATGTTCCAGCCTTTTCTACGATGACCCACATAAAGAAATACACTTGACATCATGATGCAGGAACCTCATACAAAAATACATACATACATCTATTTTAGAAAACTAAGACCAAAGTTTTCCTGAACGATGCACTCTGATATTTTCTATTGTACTCCATTTCTTCTTCTTTTTTAATGCTTGTCATGAACTATTAAAATTGATTTTGTGACCTGCTAATGGGTCTTGACCTACAATCTGAAACACACTGGGTTCGAAGAAGGCCAAGAGGAAGCTGTGGAACATGCCTGACCCTGCGCCCAGGATACGAAGAGCTTGTGCATGTGTGTGGCCCGTTCACTGTCTTGTGTGGCTTTTTCAGGGAGAGCAGGGCCTCTCGCGTTTGAAGCATTACTCATACACACGACACCCGTGCTTATTAAATCATACTTTAAGTTCCTTCACCACAAGCCCTGTAACAACAGAAGGCTGCCTGTCCTTTGTATATAAGTATGACAAGGAGACTGCGTTGTAATATCAGGGATTTGCTGCATCAACATTCATATCACAAAGCAAGGAGCCAAACTTTCTCTTTCAGAGTTTCCAAATAGGTCCCCGAGTGGACAGCTCAGGTGCAAAATCAAATTCCATTTGGTGTTTAAATTCCCCAGAATTCTGGGCTGCTCAACTGTGGAGACCCTATTTGTCTTGTTTCTTTGAGTTTTCTTGTAAATAATCTTCCCTAGTTGGTCTCTTTTATATACTATACCACACAATTACAAACTCCTCCCCACCAGGCTTCTTATTGTTTTCAGACAGAAAATACTGTCATTGAAAAGCAGAGAAAGAAAAATTAAGATTTTTCCCTAGATTGAAATTTCTATAAATATTTTACACTTGGTTGGATTTCTTGTGGAATTTCCATTCGTGAGCAGAAAAGCTACCTATCATCTTCAAATATTTAGCCGGAATAAAAAGGAAGCTATAAAGAATTCCTGTTCAGGAGGCTGAGCCCCAAGAGTGAAGAAAGTGGGAAATACAGGTGTTGGCAGGTGTCCAAGAGCACTGGCAAATACAGCAACGCATCAATCTAGAAGGGCAGAAACGAGGAAAGTCTTAGCCTGAGAAAATCTTCTCAGGAGTGTCAAAACTGGACTGTGTGCGAGCAGAAGCCACACTGGAGAGTCGGCATATACACACGAAGCTGAGGAAAACAGCCTTGGAAGGATTCATGATTATAAAACCTGTGAATGGACTACAAGTAGGTGAAAAGACACAAAATCGGGTAGGGATGTGGAGAAGAAAAGCAGAAGAAGGTGATCTTTGAACACAAATTCTGACTCCATACAAAAGAAATTTCTATAAACTTTGCCATGATTTTCAAGTGTAATTAAAAAACCACAGAAGGGAATTAAATTAAATGAAATCAAACTCAATTTAAAGAAAATAGATTTATTATGTAGAAGGTCTTATGCTAGATGCTGTAAGGGGACGTTAGGGGAGGAGGAGTGACAAGGATGGGGATGATAAGAAGTAAGCGGGTGGAGGAGAAATGTCCACATCTAATTATAATACAGCAAAACGAAGTGAGTGATGTCACAGAAATTTAAACCAGAGGTGAGGGTCTGGTAGATGAAACTGTACCTGAGGCGACAAGTTGTCCAGTACGGCTCAGAGCACATGTTCTACATGACAGAAAAGGAGACAAAGGGCCTCAGATTCATCCCTTCCCTTGTAGCCCCTCAAACTCAAACAATACGTGGTCTTTGGATCTGGTTTCTTTCACTTAACACGTTTTTGAAGTTCAGCCACATCATGGCATGCATCAGCACTTCATTCCCTTGACTGTTGAGCAGTGTTCCATTGTACAGATATACCACGTTCTGTTTGCCCACTCACCAATGATGGGTATTTGGGTTGTTTCCATTTTCTGACTATTCTGAATCATACTGCTAGAAACATTTGTTTACAAGTCTTTGTGTGGACATATGTCTCATTTCTCTTGGGCGATACCTAGGAATGGAATTGTGGAGTCATGTGGTAAATTTGTGTTTAAGAAACTATCTAACCAATTCCAAAGTGGCTGCACCATTTTACTCCCACCAGCAATGTCTGAGTTCTCATTTCCGCTCAGCCTCTCCAAAACTTATTTTGATGACAGCCATTATGGTTTGAACTCCCATTTCCCTAATGACTAAGAAGTGTCCCTTCTTAGTCCACTACACTCTAGATTTCAAATCCTTAAGGACCTGCCTCCAACAACTACCTTCTCTCTACGGATTTTGTTCTGTCAGTAGATAAATATGGTTGAGTCTCCCCCATCTTAAAAACAAAACCAAAGCAACCCTCCTTTTTATAAAAAGTGATTTACATGGTTTCCACTTTGCCACATTCATCTCTCTGTAGCCTTTGACTAATAGGGAGAAAACTTGTTTTTCCTAAAGGAAATCATTATGCCCCAGAGAAACTCCTATTCCAAGGATATGCATCCATTATTTTCATTTTTGGCTTCTTCTATGAGGGTGTTTTTCATGTGATCCAGTTTTCTAATTCAGTCTCAACCTTCCTTTAGATTCACTACTTTAGATGCTGGGAAGTTACTCTTGAGATTTTGCTTGAATACTACATGGGTACCTCTTTTAATGCAGAACAGTGTTTATATCAGGAACAAAAAGCAGAACTGAGTGTCTATATCAATATCTTCAGCTCAGTTTAATAATTAATCCTCATCAAATATATAACATTACAAGATGAAAGGCCCTTATTCAACCATGCTGAAAAAATATTTGCAACAGATAATGAAAACAAAATATTCCCTCTAGAGATAAAGCGAAAGATAAAATTCTTCTTCATCCATCAATGTTCTCCTTTTTTTTTTTTTAATTTAATTTTATTTTTTTGAGGAAGATCAGCCCTGAGCTAACATCTGCTGCCAATCCTCCTCTTTTTGCTGGGGAAGACTGGCCCTGAGTTAACAACCGTGCCCATCTTCCACTACTTTATATGTGGGACGCCTGCCACAGCATGGCTTGCCATGTGGTGCCATGTCCGCACCTAGGATCCGAAATGATGAACCCCGGGCCACCAAAGTGGAACGTGCATGGTTAACCGCTGCACCACGGGGCCAGCCCCTATCAATGTTCTCCTACAGAGAATTCAAATTCTCAAGTTCCACTTTCTAAACCTACTAACTCTTCTTTCTATCCATGTAAATACTTTTAATCAAACCTTCTTCTGCTTCATTGTAAACTCTAGTGCTTTAACTTCCCCCTATTTTCATATTCAAATCTTGCCAAATATTAAAAGACATTTGTGGTAGGCAGAATTCAAAGATGGACCTTAAGATTCTTATCCCCTGCTATATATGTCCTGTATAATTTCAAGTGTGGGGAGCAGACTGATGAATATGATGGGATATCACTAATGTGATTAGGTAACTAATGAGTTGACTTTGAATTAATCAAAAGAGAGATTGTCCTGGGTGGGCCTGACCCAATAAGTGCTCCAAGAGAAAGTAAAGTGTCAGAGAGATGTGCTCCTGCTAGCCTCAAATACAAAGCAAACTGGGATATTGTGAAAGGAGGAGGACACATGGCAAAGCCCTGAAAACAGCATCTAGGCACTGACAGTTGTCCGCCACCAGCAGCCAGCAAGAAAGTAGTAACCTCATTCCTATAGTCCCAAGGAAATTAACTGTGCCAACCAGTGAGTCTGAGGAGGACCCCAGGTCACAGATTACAGCCTCAGCTGACAACCTGATTTCAGCCTTGAGAGACTCTGAGAACCCAGCTAACCTGTACCCAGACTACTGACCCAAGAACACGATGAGATAACACATTTGTGTTCTTTTAAGCTGCCAAGTTTGTGATAATTTGCTACACAGCAATACAAAATTAAAACAATGGTTTAAAAATAGTATCCTCCTTTCCATTTGTATCATTTTGAAAAAACTTAATCAGATGATAAAATTTTAGCATGAGTATTTTCATCAAAGGGTGAAAAGAACTAGAAGCCAACAAACAAAATGGCATCAGAAGCATTTATAACATAATTATGAATAAGCGCGATACTATTCGTCAGGCACGGCTAAATTAAACTCCCTAAACCTCTTACAGTTCTGGCATCAACGGCCACGTGAATGCTACCGTACCTCGATCCTCCAGTGGGTTGCCAGCAAGGTTAATCGTGTGGAGTCCTGAGTTGGGATTATGCACTAGAGCACTGGCCAGCTTTTGTGCAAAATCCCTGCAAGTAAACAAAACAATACAATTAAATAACACAAAATGTAAAACTGTTCAAATAAAACATTTAAAGCTAGTATAGCTGCATTGAAATCTAAAAAAAAAGAAGACTTCTTTACAATATCAGTCCATATATCACGTTTGTTAACACCCAATGTATTTCACGCAAGTATAGATCCTCATTAGAGAATCTGTAAAGCCACAGTCAGAATATGGTTCATTCTGATTAGCCAAACCCTTATTCGAAAGCAAAAAGAAAATATATAATTGCCCCTTTAAAGACACATTAGCAGGATGCTATTAATAGCATACCTTGGCCTTCCTATAACTTAAAGAGAAAATCCCAAATTGAACCTAATTTTCACGAAAATTGCAATAAGTTATTCAGTGTATCTTAGTTCTCATTTCATGAGGTAGTCACGAAGACAAAACTGATTGCTCTAATTACTGAGTTTAAAGGCTACAGTTGCTAGCATGATATTTTACAAAAATCAAAATGACTATTTTAGGTAGGTTTAACTCAAAATAACACACTAAATGCTGTGATTATGATAGTCAACCCTCCTCACTGAGCAGCAGTCAAATCTTTGTTCTAGTACGTTCAAACTCTCACGCCTCAAGGAAGGCTTGAGTATTGCCCACAGACTATCTAAGTGAAGACTATCTAAGTGTGAATTGGAAAAGACTATATATGTGTGAATTTGAAAAGGGAGAGAAATGACTAAAACTGATCAAAGCAAAGCAGTAAAATCATTTGAAATATGATATGACTACCATTAGTGATACTATAAAAGCTAATACACAGCATCTACAATGACACCTTTTCAAGCACTTCATATACATTCATTCATTTATCCTCACAACTATAATTCTATAAGGTAGGCACTATTATCCTCCCCATTTTAAAGACAAAGAGACTGAGGAACAGAGGGCTTAAACAACTTGCCAAGGCCATGAGGCATCTGCTTCAAGAGCCCATGCTCTTAACCACTACACCATGCACCCTCAAAAATATCACGCGACACAACAGCAAACAATCTTATAAAATCCTTGACCTTTGTGATAATGGTGGGGATCATAAGGATTTCGTCTTTAGAAGGGAAAACACTATACTCTCCATGTGCACAGTCTGACTTTTTTTAACTATAAATTAATTTTAGAGAAAATGGCAAAAAGTTTTAAAGCAACATATTCATACATTCAGGAAAATACTCACGTTCTAAGTCCAGCGTTTTCCAACACCAATTCTTCCAGTCGATTGGACCTACTCACCACCCTCAAGATCTGTTCACAGACGTCAGTGGACTGTTAACAGAAAACGTTCTTTAACCATGCCATGAGTCTAAAAACAACCTCACTTCATTGTTATAAATCTGTGCAGATGTAGAATTTTAATAAATCATTCATTCATACATTCATTCATTCAACAAACCTCGACTGAGCATCTACGACTATGCACCATCATGATGAAGGTCCTGGGAATACATTGACATAAAGGACAAAGTCTCTGCCCTCAAGTGTTCCATCCAGCAGGGGAATCAGACAAGAAAATACACCGTTATGATAGAATAATGAAAAGGCCAGTTTGGTAATGCTATGGGCACACAGAGGTGCATCTCTTCCAGTCTTGGGAAAACCAAAAGGAATTTCCAAAGGAAGTGATATCCAAAATGGAAAGCCAAAGACTAAGTGGTGGCGATGACGAGAATGATGTTGGTGATGAAGATCTTACTAAGCTCTTGTCATGTGCCAGGCCATGAGCTAAGCCCTTTATATGTATTTCATTATAAAACTGTTGAGTAGTATTATTCCCTTTTTATGGATACAAAAATTAAGCTTTAAAGATGTCATGCACCTTAAAGGGAGGCTGAACAAGCACTTGACAAATGTTAATTACTATTACGATGTTGCCACTAGTATTTTCTAAAATAGGGTAAAGTGGGAAACAACCTAATAAAAAGAAAGAGTTCAATAAATAATAGTCTTTTATGTTAACAGACATTTTTAAAAATTACATAAGAAATTTTACATAGTAAAATTATTATGTCTGCTGAAATATTATAAATGCTTAGAATATAATCTTAAATGAAAATGCATAATTAAAACGAAATGTTTAATAAAGATTACTACAATTGAAATGGCTAATGTATGTAGCAAGTCCTGAAGGGACTATGAAAAATAAAGAGTTGTGCCCCAGTGGTAGAAGTGTGCCTAATTTTTTCTTTTAAAATTTTTATTAATGTTTTTATATTTATATCCTGCCTTATTCCAAAACTAATTTAAGGTGGCTCTTGACCTTAAAATTATTTATACATTGAAAAGTGATTTTAAAATCTCATTACAACATAAGGTTTACTTAAATCCTTTATGATATTAAAATTAAAAAAAGAAAGAAATTGTATTCTGTGTGTCATGGTATATGATAGTCAAAGCAATATCTTTTCTAAAAATACCACATTAAAATATTAGAGTTCTGGGGGCGGTCTGGTGGTGCAGCAGTTAAGTGCACACATTCCACTTTGGCGGCCCGGGATTCACCGGTTCAGATCCCAAGTGTGGACATGGCACCGCTTGACAAGCCATGCTGTGGCAGGCTTCCCACATAGAAAGTAGAGGGAGATGGGCACAGATGATAGCTCAGAGCCAACCTTCCTCAGCAAAAAGAGAAAAAAAAAATTTTGCTAAGGAAGATGTTAGCTCAGGGCTAATCTTCCTCAACAAAAGATATGGTTGGCCCATATAATTTGCGTGGTTCCTCTTACTTATAAATTTCCATATTTGTTTTATTTTATACCAGCTTGTTATTTTATAGCAATTGCTCTCATTTTTATAGTATACATTTGATTTTTAACTAAATGCAAACTCTTGGAGAGTCATTGTATTAATCTGTTAATTTTTTCCCCTAAATCAGTAACAGTGCTGAACATGCAGTCGACATTTGGGGAACACTACTGTAATGGTCACATTTTACTTGGTGTGAAATCTAGGTTTGTGTGTATCTCTTTAAAATGAAATCTAGGTTTTTGTGTGTACCTCTTTAAAAATTTCACCACTCGTGTTCTTCTGTGTAGAAACCAATGCTTTTCATGTAGTTGGCACTTAATTTAAAAAAAAAAACAGCAAAATTAATGTAATCATGAATGACTTGTTACACCTCTCCCCTACTGGCATCTTAAAGAAAAGTTGGACACAATTTTCATACATTTTCTTTAACAAATTTTTATTACAATAATTATACCCAATGGGTAAATGAAAGCCCTGCTCAAAGCTTTGCTCTGGTAAATTCCTTTTCTGGATGCTCTGTGAGGTAGCCCTGGAAAGGTAATGATACCATGGATTCTTTCTAGAAATTAGGATAATCCCTGCAAAAACATTGTCTATGTAATCATCTTTTACCATGACAACACAGAATAAGATCAATTCCCCTGGTTATATATTGTAAGACAAAGAATTAAACTGATAAGGGGTCACCATTTGGAAAATCAGCATCGTCAGCATAATGTAAATTGCCGGCATCAGGTCAACTGGAATTAATTTTCCTATTTGCTCATCAATCTGTGGGACACATTAGAAACCCAGGAATAATGTGAAAGCAACGTTAAAGACCGAATGGAATCAAACAGCATATAAGAACTGCAAGAGCTGTAGATGCTGTGGGACTTGTGTTTCCAACTCAGATTTTCTAAAGAATACTTTACTGGAGAATTTTTGCCACATTTCACACTTCCAGTGATCCAGTTAGGTATTTGTGATCTGCTAAATCAAAGAACTATAATATTTCTTTTTTTTTCTGAGGAAGATTCATCCTGAGCTAATATCTGCTGTGACTCCTCCTCTTTTATTGCTTGAGAAAGATTAGCCTTGTGTTAAAATCTGTGCCAATCCTCCTCTATTTTTTTCTATGTGGGATGCTGCCACAGCATGGCTGATGAATGGAGTAGGTCCGTGCCCAGGATTTGAACCTGTGAAGCTGGGCTGCTGAAGTAGACAGCTTAGAACTTTAACCACTCAGCCACGGGACTGGGCCCAAAGAACTCTAATTTTTTTTTTTTTTTGGAGGAAGATTAGCCCTGAGCTAACTGCTGCCAATCTTCCTTTTTTTGCTGAGGAAGACTGGCCCTGAGCTAACATCCATGCCCATATAGCCTGCCACAGCATGGCTTGATAAGTAATGCGTAGGTCCAACGCCTGGGATCCAAACCAGCAAACCCCGGGCCGCCAAAGCAAAGTGCACAAACTTAACCACTGCGCCACCAGGCCAGCCCCCATATCATTTTTAAAAGGTTAAAAAAAACCCAGTGATATTTGCTGACTTGCCTAAGTTACAAAACTGAAACAGGTGAGCAAGACCCCAATTCTACTGCTATATTAGTGAGTCCAGAATGTTGGACAGAAACTTGATCCTAATCACATATTTGGCATATCTGAAAAAAAAAATCTGGGGCTGGCCCCGTGGCCGAGTGGTTAAGTTTGCGCTCTCCGCTGCAGGTGGCCCAGTGTTTCGTTGGTTCCAATCCTGGGCGCGAACACGGCACTGCTCATCAAACCACTGAGGCAGCATCCCACATACCACAACTAGAAGGACCCACAACAAAGAATATACAACTATGTACCGGGGGGCTTTGGGGAGAAAAAGGAAAAATATAAAAATCTTAAAAAAAAAAAAAAAATCCCTCTATCCCTCGATTTAAATCCAAAATAGTGACTGCTAACTGGTTTCATAAGGTCAGGATAAGGTACATAAGTCATATTTTTCCCGTGGAGCCTTCATCGAGCTAGGAGCAATCTTAACAACCCAGAGAATTCATGTAACTTGAGAGGAAGTCACTTATTTTTTGTCATGCACTTCGTGTTTTAAAAAATCCAAAGGAGGTATAATGCTGTCCTTTGCTTCAAATAAACTGGGTGTTAGAAAACCTTCACAGATTGCATATTGCAGTACCCATTAAGGGGGAAAGGATCGTTTCTTTTTAACTTTGGGTGAGAAAATTGAAGAATTGCTCTTCTTTTTAAAGACTTGCAGAGTAATATCCCAAAGACCATTTTTCATTTTAAAATACCAAAATATTAAAAATGTATACATATGTATTTTCGTGTTTAAATCTCAGTTAATAGCAAAGCAGTAGGGCCGTCCTCAAACCCTGTCACCCCGCTTCCTTCCATCCCAGGACACCCAAGAAAGCACATGAGCACTTACATGCTTTATTTTGCCAGGACTGAAATGCTTAGGGGCATATTTTCTTTCCTAAACATCTAAGGCAGCTGAAAGGGAGTGATGCCTGGGAGGAATCAGGACAGAATGGCAGCACTGATGGCCTGGACACGTTCCTGTACTAGTGAGTTGGAACAGTCTCCTAAAGCAGGATATCCGCACCTCCTCAGAGCTCTCTTGTGCCCCATTTTGAAAATCACGAGCTTAGGTGAATGTCTGAGTGAGCCAGGAAAGCTGATTTAGTAGAGAAGCATTCTTCTCTCTGATCCCACAATCCCTGGGCTAATCTACTTCTCATTCCTCGAATGGCTCCCCTCTCCCACCTGTGATCTCTGCTGGCTCGGTCCTGCATATGGTCCCCATCCTAGCAAGGAGCAAATTAGAGGCTTTTCTTCCCAAGTGTCCGATCATGGCTCTCTGGGTGGCTCCCCCACCATCCCCAGCTCCATCATCGCTGACCTCAGACACTCCCCATGTTTAACTGAAACACTTTCCGTAATTCATGCTCCCACATTTGTTCATATCTCAGCCTCTCTGCTAGATCGTGGTGATGATAACAACAGTTAACAGGTATCAAATGCCTGCAATATGTCAGGTACTATGTTAGAATTTGTACATATATCATTTACTTGTCTCAATAACCTGCAAATTAGGTATACTGCAATGTCCATTCATTCATTCAACAAACTAATCGGACATTTATTTATTAAAACCATTTTTACTGAGTAGCTACTATGAGCCACAAACTCTGATAAGCACTGGATAGAGATGAATAAGACATCAACTCCAACCAGCGCACAATAATAGGTACGCAAGACGCTGAGGCCCTGGAAGGTCAAGTAACTTATCTAAGGTCACATAGCCTGGTAACAAGCGCCAGTATCTGAAACCCAGGTTTCTGTGCCCTACTCCACACTCTTTTCCTATACCACGCTGGCTCTTAATGGATCCCAAATGACTTCAGCCCATGCTCATACTGATAGTGCCTTCAACCACTCACACCCCAGGCAAATTCAGAGAACCAGCAGCCTGTCTGCTAGCAAATCTCAACCCTCCACTTTCTATAAATCCACGTCTGAATCCAAATTCTACCTCTTCACTATGATAATTGCCAAAAGAACCCAATAGACCACCTTTTTTCCACTCATAGAACAAACCAAAGATTTGGCTCCCCCATCCCTTATGAAAATTAACAGATTTCACTTTGATTTCATTTTGCTCACATATATATCTGCCCTAAAAATCATCTAGAAAATTAATGTTAACTCTCATAATTCAACAAGACCAATTCTACCTGGAAACATTTCCCTAAACTCTTGGCGGGGGGGGGGAAGTTTTGCGGAGACGGAATGCAAGACCGGAACATAAAATCTACTATTTGCAACTATGCAAATGTAACTTTAGTGGTTTTTGCCAACAGAATGAGGCAAATTAAAGCGAAGGCCACACTAAATGTGTCTTTCTGTTCATCATCTCAAATTGCCTGAAGCAGCTGAAAACGTGAGGAAGTACTTCCCTGAAGCATCTCACATTACAAACTTTATAAAATGTCGTGCAGATCATTTATAGGAAAATATCTCCTCAAGAAATAACATGTATGCGGCTTGCCAGTATAGGGGGAAAAAACCCTTTTTTTGATAATTCTCAGGTTTTTGAAATTCAGCAAAGCCAAGCAACATTTGCAACATCTTCAATCACTTACCAGTTTTAGGTCCTTAGAAGACAGCTTGGTGAACCACTGATTGTATTCCAGAGCAGCAATGATAGGTATTAGGTCCCTAGAAGCATAAATAACAAAAGATATGAAAGTGCTTTTACAGCAGCCATATTGGCACTTTATTTTTAATCTATGACATCCAGGTTTACTTGTTAATTTCTATTATTTACAAACACAACATCCAGACAAAGCTATTTTGACCACTAGACAACAATTAAATTCTCTAGGATAGATCTTCAGTATGCTGTAAGGAATTAAATTAGGAAATTAAATGAAATTAGTCTAGGAACTCTCATTCCTATTTCCAAAGGAAAAGAGGTTGGTAGCTGTGTTTGCTTGGAAAACCTCCTTGCTCTAAGAGAAACCATATATTTAATTCCATACTAACAAGCCTTATTTCTTTAGACTGCTCTTTCATAAATTTTTTAACCATCAAGTATGTCACATATTCTCTAGAGGAGCTGATATCACGAGCAAGGATAGTGTCTAGCCTGATAATATGTGACATCAGAAGGATCCGGAATGGTTAGCATGTAATCCTAGAACCATTTGGTACTTTCTCACAGTTCTTAGTACTGATTATACACAGGAGACAGCCCAGCTGTATTTTTGTCCTACGCTTCATACAAGCTCTTCAGCCATCAAGTGAAGCTATTTGCATCAGAAATCTGCCTCCACTCCATTTTTCCAGCCTGATCTCGCACAACATGTCCCCATCTCATGCTCAAGCCAAAAAGCAGACAATTGACTACTCATCAAACACACCATGCAATTTCACAATCGGAATAATCTTGTACTGCTGTGCTCAGCTATGAAAATCTATGTATCCTTCACGCCTCTATCAGACATTCTCTCCTCTATAAGCTCCCCGCTGGCCACCCCAGCTCGCATACTGCTTGCATCTCTATTTAGCATTTATTTTATTCTGTCCTGCATTATAGTCTGCTGCTTAAACATTTGTCCCTTATCACCCTCGGTTGTAAGTTCTTTCAAAACCAGCCTCTGTCTATTTCAGTTTTGTGGCTTCAGTGCAACCATATCAGTTTTATCCTCAGGGCATGACACATAGCAAATACTCAAAGTTTTACTGAAATAGAAAAGAAAGGCAGAAAGCGGAAAGAGAGCTGAAAATCCACTTTAATTCATAGCTTCTGGGTACCAGGCCCTGTGCTAGGCACTCTACACGGACCATCTCATTTAAATCTCAAAACAACCCTACAAGTACTGTTGTGTACATTTTACAGATGAAGAAACAGATGTTCGGAGACAGGCAGTGAAACTAGGCCAAAGGGAAAGAACTATGGCCGAAACTCCGAGTCTGAAGCACCACATGTGTGTAGTTTTATCAGACAAGCTTTAAAAAGGCAAAATAAGTGCCCACGGATAGTAGAGAAAAATGATGCAAAGGAATTAGTTGTCTCAGTCATGTGATTCCACATGCCATCTTCCTACCAAAAAACCTCTTTATTAACTTGGCTTAAGTTTCAGGTTTTAAAATAGTTTTAGATTAAAAAACAAGAACAACTCTTTGCATAGTTGTTCTACGGTCTTCACTCTTTCACAGCTCTCCACTGACCATGTGCTCAGAACGAGTCCCTGTAGCTCTCCCCAGTGTCTGATGACAGGTTGTAGCTTCGACGGTGAACCTCACCTTATTACACAGGGCTCCCAAAGCCCACGGTGCTCCAGAGTCCTCCCCTGCACTTCACCACTCAGGGACCATGACAAATCATTCTCATCTCCTTTCGTGGATTTAATGTCAAGTAGGGACCACCCTTCAGAACCTCTTTATTGTGTATTCTATTCTGTCACTTGATTTGAAGTACAGCTGGCTTTTGTCATAATGAAGTCACTTTCAGGAATTGAAGAGCACATCATAATAGAACCAAGCATTACACTAATATATTACACTAATGTAAAGCACTGATGCTTTATACAGCATCATCTCTACATACGACAGGCCAAAACCTTGGGGGCAAAAATTCTGGTACACTAAAAGTCGAATCTAATATTTAAGGACACCAGAAATGTTTATGGTAAAATATTAAATTTAAAAAATATATAGCATTATAGTTCACAGTTGTTTGATATAGACAATGATTGTAATTGGTAAAAACTACATATAAAATGATAGATCTAAATGTTAACAAATACAGACACTTTTTTTTTTAAAGAAAAAGAAATATAGCAAAATTTTATGAGGATACTTTGCCTGGGTGGCAGCATTCGAGGTGATATGAAATTTTTCTAACAGAATTCTTGCTCCATATTTTTAAAATTTTCCCTTATGAGCCATATTCACAATCTAAAAGAGTTGTAAAATTAAATGTTCTATGGATGACGTAAATAAAATTTTATTCTAGAAAATATTTTCCATGAAGATGATGGAGTCTTGTGCATGTTGGCATAGTTTGCCTACCATGTTTCTCTAATGCCTAAGTTTTTTAATGTTAAAAACAAATTAGAAAAAGACAATCATATATTTTAGTTCATTCAGTAAACATTTATTTAGTACCTACTAAGTACTGGGCGGGGTTATTAGGCTCTTAGGGTTAAGTGATGAGTAAGAGCTGCTTTTGTGCCCCTACTAGACTCCAGTGGTGGACAAAGACTGCTACTCAGCTATCTGCAGCACAAAGGGAGACATGCTGAATAGGCGGCATGTTCAAAGTGGCCTCAGAACATGGGAGGACACGAGGACACAAGTACTGGGTCAGCTTGGCGCAGAGGGGGAAGCATCCACAGGGTGTAATTAGAACAGCACATACAAAGGCATGGGAACCTGGAAATGCCCCAGCAACTCCATCCATTCATATATTCAACAAGTGCCACCCACTGTGCATGAATCACTGGGTTGATGCAACAATGAACACAGCAAGATGGTCCCTCCCCTTGTGATACCGATAGCCTGGCATAGCCTAAGAGAAGACTCAGGAAATAAAAGCAACTATATACAGTGAAATAGTCACTTTGGAGTAGGGAGAATATGAAGTACTATGGTGCTTATAAAAGAGGCATTAATCAAGAAAAAGAAGTCAGGAAAAGTTCTTACAAGAAGTTATTGAGACTTCTGAAATGAGGATGTGGAATGCGACACACATTCTAGGCAAAAGAAATAGTGAAAAAGCAAGGTATGGCTTAGTCAAAGAGTTTTTAATCTGACACCAGAAGCATGATCCATAAAAGAAAAAAAAATGATAAATCAGATTTAATCAAAATCAAAACCTTTTGTTCCGCAAAAGATGCTGTTAAGAGACAGGAAAATCAAGTCACAAGCTAGGAGAAAATATTTGCAAATCACATTTCTGACAAAGGACTTGGTATCCATCATGTATAAAGAACTCTCAGAAGTCAATAATAAGAAACAACCAATTTGTGTGTGTGTGTGTGAGAGAGAGAGAGAGAGAGAGGAAGATTGGCCCTGTGCTAACACCTGTTACCAATCTTCCACTTTTTGCTTGAGGAAGAGTGGTACTGAGCTAACATCTGTGCCCATTTTCCTCTATTTTTTTTGTATGTGGGACACCCACAGCATGGCTTGATGAGTGGTGTAGGTCTGTACCAGGGATCCGAACTCACAAACCCCAGGCTGCCAAAGCAGAGCACACTAAACCTAACCACTATGCCACTGGGCCAGACCCCCAAATTTTTAAAATGGGCAAAAGATCTAAACAGATACTCATCAAAGAAAATGTACTGATAGCAAACAAGTACATGAAAAGATGCTCAAAATTATTAGCCATTAGAGAGATGCAATCCAATGCCAAAATGAGATACCGCTACAAACCTACTGAATTACAAATTTTTTTTTTTTTAAACTGACAATATCAAGTGATGACAAGGACACAGAGCAACTAAAATCCTCATACATTGCTGATGGGAATGCAAATGGCACATTCAATGTGGAAAACAGTTTGACAGTGTCTTATTATGTTTAACATACACTTACCATATGATCTAACAATCTCAATCCTATACATTCACCCAAGAGAAATAAATTTGCACAAAAACTTATATATTATTGCTTATAACAGCTGTAGTCATAATTGTCAAAAACTGGAAACGACACAAATGTCCTCCAGTGAAGCTATGTGACTTCCAAGGCCAGGTCAGAAAAGGTAATAATATAGCTTCTGCTTATTAACCCTCTCTCTGGGACACACTCACTCATGTTATCCAGCTGCCTTGCTGCGAAGAGGTCCAGGCCACAGGGACATGCCACATATCTGTCTCCTAGCAGATAGCCAGCATCAACCACCAGACACGTGAATGAAGCAGCCTTCAAGATGGCTCCACAGCCAGCTCCCGACTAACTGCAACAGCTTGAAAGGGCCCAAGAAAGAACCATCAAGCTGAACCAAATCAACCCCTGAGTTGTGACAGATAGTAACAATAAGTGACTGTTGTTGCAGACCCTTAAGTTTGGGGTGGTTTGTATAAAGCAGTAGACAACCAGAACACTTAGTATCTAGAAATAAAGGCTGAAAGCTACACTAGGTGAACATGACTATAGACAGGGTAACCATAAAAAGGCTTTTAAGCAAGAAATGTTTCAGCACTGGAGGTAGGATGTATCAGAGGAAGGTAACAATTTCTGCAATGCTGGCAAGATGTGTCAGAGATACGGAAGAGGCCTGAGGCAGAAGGTGGATTCAGAGACTAGAATAAGAGCCACGGTATAATACAAATTTTCCCTAAATTGACTAAAGAGTTAATACAAACCAATCAAAATGTGCATATTGTATAATGAAACTATAAAGAAACATGGACTACTAGGATAATTGTCATAACTGGGTATGGTAGGGGGAAAGGGAGGAAGTATGGTTGGAAACTGATTTATGCAAGTCTTCTAAGGAACAATAGCCTATTTCTTGACCTAAGCGATGGACATAGTGGCTGACTTTACAATTATTTACATTCTGGTACATATCTGCACACTTTTCTCTAAGGAAACAAGTATAAGAATGGCCTTAGAGGCATTGCTCATAATAGTCATTAAGTTAACCAAATTGTCTGATCAACAGAATGGATAAATTGTGGAATGTTCATCCATGAGAATAC